GTGGATCTCCCCACTGAGATCACTGGTTGATTACTCCCAACTCCCCACAGAGAACGACGTATACATTATTTCTCTTATTCATTCAATGGACACAGGCAGAAAAAGAGAAAGTGGGAGAAGGGAGGTAAATGAATTATTATAGATTGAACATTTCAGTTTGTGGATTTCAGATGGGGATACAGTACAATACTTTTATGCTGTTCATAGCTTGTGCTGAAATTGTCACATACAGTAGGTCATTTAGTATTTAGGAATAAGAATAACCATAGTTTAGTTTGGCAGTTTTGTGTGGGACATCCAACTTTATAGAAGTGCTCTAATCTGTGATATTTTCTATATTTTAAGAACTGAGAGGCCATACAATAAAATCCATTTACGACCTCTATTGACAAAGATGAGTACTTTGGATAATGCAAGTGGCCCATTATCACTCTACATGGAGTTAGCATGGAACACTAGAGCCAGAGTGTATGACTTTGATCTCTCCTGTCACTAAATCACTAAATTGACCAACAGGTTAAAAGAGGTTAAAATATTATTTATACATTTTTTTTCTGCTGCTATGTGATTGAATGGAAGGACCAAAAAAGTTCACATGATCACAGCACAGGGCAACTGGGGTTATGGAGGAGACAATCCGTCTTTCCAGACAGCCCAGATTCTTCTGGGAGAAACAGGAAGGGATGGAAAGTAAAATGGACATCTGCAGGTGTACAAATCCCAGAACATGAGGTGAAATCACAGTTAAACGAAATGTTCTGCTCCATCCAGGCAAATGGATAGACTGACTGGATGAATGAATGGATGAAAGAAACAGAGATAAAGTGGCAGAGAGGCTGACATGGTGATAAAGTGAACAAACAAACAGCCAGAGACAGAAAGACTGACAAACGGGACGAGCGAAGAATTGATTTACCCTGATGGTTTGTTGGATGGGCGTCAAGACGGATGGATGGAGACAGACAGGCCAACATAGTGTCAGAGAGACAAATAGACAGTGACACCCTGACACTGTTGGGGCAGCAAAACACTGAAGGGTATTCTGATAACATAGACAACAACACACTGTACGCCCCTTTAGGCTCTCTGCCATTTTATATCAAAAATGTATGTTCCAATATCCACTATTCCCAGCAGAAACAAATCACATCATACTGTATCAGAAATGACAAAGATGATTCGTTTCCAAGTCTGTGCAATTTCATAAACATTTAGTATCTTATCACAGTGTGATAAGATGCTGTGGAGAACTTAGTCACAGTGTTTGCATTTTTCCAATCTGCTCACTTTTTTTTTGACAAATTAACAAAAGATGAAGCAAAAGATTGCAAGAAAACTTTGAGCATTTCTCATTAGCCACAGAAAGGCTGCAGTTCTGGGGAGTGTAGTTGCATGAAGAGAAAATGCAGGTGGAGATAATAGAGTGATTGACAGAGGGATTAAATGTGTAATCTAATAACCACATATAAAAGTAATAAAAGAAAAAACAAACAGATTATATATATCAATATAGAACCGCAGGTATGTGCAAATATGAGCCTACAGAACACACTTGGCATGTGTTTCAGTAGTCTAGGTGTGAGTTGGATTAATGCTGTACATCATATTCTAAACTGGGCTAGTGTAACCTTTATCCTCAAGACTAAGATTGAAGAGGCTTTGAACTAAATGCTAACGTCAGAAAGCTAACAGCCTTATAATGGCAATGTTAACATGCTGATGTTCAGCAGGTATTGCCAATACATATTGCTATTGTTTTATTGCCCAGGTCTACACTTAAGTTATTAGGATTCACCGTATGGTAATGCCTGTACCAAATTTTGTGCCAATTCATCTGGTAGATGTTGAGATATTTCACTGGCTAAATGAAAAGACCTGCTGATGCTGCTATAGGAAAAGTCAGAGGATCAGTAAAGTCATCAGGATTTATCCTCTGGGCACCGTTGACATCCATACCAAATTCCATGGCAATCCATTCAATGGTTGTTGAGATATTCTAGTGTGGACCAAAGTGTTGGACCGACAGAATGAGAGAGTGACATTACCATTCTATTAGCCACGCCGCTAGCATGGCTACAATTCACCTTCAACACAAAGAATTCATGAATACATTAGGTGCTGTCTACATAGCCTTATGGTTCCAAACACAATCAATAATGTCCTTAGTATGAAGTTATGAGCAGTAGAAGCAAAGACTGATCACTCTTGGACTGTTTGATTTGAAGGATCTTTTGAGGCCTGAAAAGGTGTTCTTATGCTTTTAATCACCTGGTCGGCCTTCAAGTTAGTTGTGTAAACCACAGCTCTAACCTCATTCGATTTGATTTGACAATTTTGGAAACATTTCAGTGACATGGAAACACAAAGATATGTGTCTATATATACAAATGTTTAGTTGCTTGTGGATGCTGTATATGAGGCAGGTTGTTTTTGATGAATGGGGATTAGAGAAAAAACGGGTCCAGGTTTGCATGTGTGAGAGAGACCATGGCAGAATATATGAGTGTGTTTGATTGTGCGAAATGCGGGGAGAAAGAGTGAGACACAGAATGAGCAAGTGTGAGAAACAGAGGTAGAGAGAGAGAGACCCAGGAAGATATACAGACAGAGAGAGCGAACGCAGCTCCATAAAGACGTGAGCTGAATGCTGCCGATCTGAGCGGGTGAGGTGATATATAGTTTAGTCAGTAGCAGCGGGTCACGACAAAGCCTTTAACAGTAATGTCCTGGGAGTCGCCTCGCCCAGGGGACCCGCGCTCCATTTTACAGCCAAGCGACTGAGACTGAGACGCCATGGCATGACAGCTGGAGCAGTAAAGCTGGCCTCTAGTACCATCCATAACATGAAGGAGGCGTAGACGCCGCTGATACCACCACAAAACACCAGGCCCGAGGCCACACCGACAGCTGGCGAGTTAAGAGGGATGAAGAAAAAGGGGGCTTGGGAAATAGTAGGAAGTGGTAGACGAGACAAAGGAGAGATAGAAGAGAAAAGAGCGAGGAGATATATTTGCAGATTTAGACAGAGGAGCAATAGATGATCTACATCAAAGGAGGGACTAAAAAAACAAATGGAGAGAGGGGGGAATGGGCTCCAGCTCAGAGGTGCAAGGTGGAGAATTTTAATGTAAAAATTCTTTCAGTCTCTTTTAGTGCTAAAATTGATTAGTCAAGTACCTGACAAGTCAACTGAATCTTCAATAATTTGATAACTGAGTAATTGAAGCATTGGCTCTCTTTTTAGGACTGTCAGTTGGACAAAACAATCTATTTGAAGACGTCACCTTCGGCTCTCAGAAAATGTGATGGGCATTTTTCATTATTTCCTGCCATTTTACTAATGGAACAATTTATTCGTATTAGCAAAAATAATGAACAGATTAACTGAAAAGGACAATAATCAATCTGCCGGATTGATTTAATGTACAGCAGAAAGGTCCACTCCTTAACTGCACAAAACAGGAGGAGGTACTGTGCTTCCAGAACTAACAAGGTGTGTCCGTGTTCCTGGGCGAGAACACACTAAGAGAACGCAATGTGATTGTACACATGGTAGATAGTATTACTGCTGCTGACATTCGAATGATAAGAAAGAAAGAAAGAAATTATGTGTTAAAGGTTACCATTGGTTGCACACAGGAAATATACTCCAAGTTAAAGTCCTGTGTTTGACCCACCAAGCCACAACAACCTCCTCTTTAAGATAAGTTCTTTGCTCTTTACACTGAGTTCGTCCTTTGCTCTCATTTAATTTAACTGAAACCATTTTCCTATTCGTATCTAACTTTCTCTCACTTTTTATTGGATAGTGGGTTGGTACGAGTGTGCCACGTCAGATTCAGCAAACGCTCCTAACTTTAGATTTTTGTGTTAATCACCTGCGTAAAAATGATGAATGGGTAACAGAGCGGATGTTCATGAGAACTGAATATTTGCTTAACTAACGCACCAATAATACCATATAAGGCCACACAGCCTGCCCCGTGGTGAGGAAGTTCATTGGTGAAAATGGTATGGAAGAATAAAAAGAAGAACTTTACGAGCCTGGAGATTGAAGTCCTGCTCTCAGACATCAACAAAGTGGAATAAAAGGACCTACAAGATAACGAGTGCTATTAACGCCGCGTCACCTATGGATCGTACTGTTGCTGAAATCAAGAAGTGATTTGATATGAAAAGCAGGTGATTGATGACTGCAACGGGAGGGGGTCAAGGGGGAGTCTCCATCATGTTCATAAACAAAAGAATATGCGCATTAATGGGTGATGCTACATTGTCAGGCATTGCAACAGAGGATGTTCCCCTGGACAGCGACCTGCATACACCTCAATGTGAAGAAAACCTTAACCCCATTATTAGCCGATATAAATGAACGATTACATTGTTAGGCTGTATGATACATTTAGAAGTAATATTATATTGCAACAGTATAGTCATGATGTCAACGTAATTATGAAGAGTAATTTACATAGGAAACTCAAAATTGCTAACAGCAGACTAATTTCACATGACTAATTACACATATACATGACTTGTAAATTGTGCTTGTACTAAGAGAAAATTCAAAAAAAGAGAAAATGGGCGAATGCTGCAAGCTCTCCTAAATCAGTCGTAGAAGCCACTCGAGAACGAATGTGTTCGTAGGAGTGGTTCTAGCATGAGGCCGAAGTGTTAAGGAGGGACATGGGTGAAAATAGCAACAACCTTTCTGTGAAAGACGGCACAAGGGGGATATGGGAAATGTGGTCTTAAATATGAGACAAAATAACACTGACAATACCATTGGCAGCAAATAGAGCCAATCAATCATCACAACCATGACAAGAACTCAAGGTAAACACCACGCGCCTGGGAATTGAAGCCCATCCGAAACTAAAAGCATACACATTGCTGACGTGTCCTTGAGCAACATGCTGAGTCCCTACAAGAATCAACAAGGTATCACATGTATTGTTGTAGTGTTACTGGTATGCAGTAAGACTGGGCAGATGGACACTCACTTTACTTCTAAGACAAGAGCCAGAATCCCTGCAGCAATCGGAGCAGCGCTGGATGTTCCTGGAAAGTGTGTGACACAGCCATCACTAATGCTGGTCACCGTGACCTGGAGAGGTAACAAACCACATACAGTATGTCACAAGATACAACTAAATGTAGATATCATATCAAACAAGAGTAAAAAGATGGTTTGTTTTTAGAAAAAAAATGCAGCTTTGAAGCAAATCAGGCTAGTTGAGTTCTCACATTATAGCAGCTACTGCATCAGTAGCAGTTTTTTCTGTCATTAGACCACGCCAACACAGTTTTGCAGTGATGATAATTAAAAAACCAACTTGTGTCTAGTCTGACCACCTGCTAATGTGAGGTGGAAAAGGGCAGGCATCCCAGCAGACAAAGGTGATATCACACTGATAAAATTGGCCTTTCTGTTTCTGTTGCCCTGGAGCTGGCACTGCGTTTCTTCCCGGCTTTCCACTGCTACCTCCGCCATCAACACCTCGGCTTCCTCCTCTCCCTCTCTCAGCGTCTACAGCCACGCTTTACCTCCAATTAACACTCGTTTGCTTCTGTGTGTCTTTATGTGTGTGTGTGCCCAGCAGTCACCTAGGTCATTTGGCAGGCCTCTATAAATATCACACCAGTGGCTGCTCTTTAACAGGCTTCTCACAGCTCACAGGAGCCAAAGAGCAGGGCTGCTGGCACACACACACATATACACACACACACATATATACGACCTCATTAATGATAAACACTGTTGTTAGATGTGTTAGGTGGTACACGCACAGTAACCAGAGGTAGGGAGCCTCCCACGCCGGCCCCTGTAAGAGTGACGGCCATCACACCGGGGCAGGGCTCGCCGAAGTAGGCGGGCTTCCCTGTTTGAGAGACAGCGCCGATGGCAATGTTGTAGATGGAGTTAACATAACCATCTGCACCGCAGTGGTCATGCTGCATTCCACCATTACCTGCCGCCCACACAAAGATGCTGCCCTTCCCACCTCGGCCCTGATAACACAAACAGAGGAACGTCAAAGTGAAAGAACAAGTGAAAATTGGATTTCATAAAGAATGTTTCCATCTAGCGGCCAGCTAAGCATTTCAAATATCACATGTGAAAAAATATATTATACTGTACATATTTATAATAGGCTTAAACTGAGGGGAAAAAATAGGATTCCTTATTGCAGGAATAATTAAAAATGGACTTTTAAAAAAGTAATTATGGCTACATTCACACTGCGAGCAATAGCACTCAAATCTGATTTATTGGTGATTTGTTTTTGTTTGGCTGTTATTATTAAGTAACATTATTTGTTAACTGTGGCCCATATCAGATTCCAGTGTGAACAGGCCAGAGTCCTGAAGTGACCTTCATGATGAGAGTGACAAAAAAAAAGTATTCTGATTTTCTGTGTAATTTGTATTGTTCACACTGTCATAAAAAACAGATCTGAGTCACATAAGCAAAAACACCAGATTTGGTTCACATGCACCTGCAGTGTGAACGTAGCCTGGGCAAGTTGTTATTTTGGTCAGTAAAAAATTGTGTATAGTCATGGCTTGTGCCAAGTGAATATGAGAAACTGTGTACATTTTTGAGCACTATGTGGATAAATGTGGGAGCACTACCATTTAATATTGCAATACATTCACATGTGCAGATTACGAGATCTTAAAACTGAAACTAAAGTGAACTGAAGCTCGAAAGCACTTATCACACAAGCTGTAAACAAAAAGTGGAGAAAGGAAATTATTATTAAAATTAAATCAGTCTATGTAATCCCCAAACTCGACATTTTCTCCTTCCAACCTCATCTCCACTAACAGTGCGGGTGTCGGCTTTACATCTGACAGACAGCAGTGTGAACCTGGAGATGAAAGCCGTGCCTTGTGAGTTCCAAGCCGAAGGGCTCGCTCTGTCAGATTGTGCGGCCCGTCCATCTCGGCCCCGTCGTCCCGGGGGCCCCAACTGCAGACGTAGATGTCGATGAAGTGGATGTTGAAGGTCAGGGCTGTGGCCTCCATGGCATCAGTGACAGAGCCGTCCAACAAGCGGATACCTGGACGGATGGAAAAGGTCACAGAGATCGGAGTTCAGAGGAAGGCTTGTGGAGAAATTAAACAAAATTGACACTTTTCAAAAATATACCGGAAGAGCTGAAAAACAGACCCAAGGACACAGTTTTTCATGTTGTGAAAGTTATATTCAGTCTATAAAACTTTAGTACAGCAAGAGATCTATAACACAATAATTGGGCTGCTGTATGAATTCCATCATTGTCTGTGTCTCTGTCTACTCTTTCTATAGTGCTCCATTGCTGGTTGTTGAAAATGTCATAGGTTTACTTAAACTGTGTAAGTTGTGTGAGAATGTACATTCAAATAAAATTGGACATTGATTTCTATCTTTAGTTTCTGCTCAGTAGTGTTAACTGGTTTTACCTTAGCAAATGTGGGCTAAAAAGAAAGCTCTTCAAGCCAAGGGCTCTTTTAAAAACACCTAATATCCACCCTTATAGACGCATAACCTGCCCTGGTTTTTGTGGAGTGGTCAGAGTGCTCAATGCTTTACTAAATACCTGCAGTGCAAATTAGTGTTTGATGTAGCCTATTTTTAAAAGATAGTCCACACATTTTGTAAATTTACTGTTCAATGCACAACACAAATTCTGAATAAAAAATGGGAATGGAAAAGAAAAAGAACAAAACAACATGATAAATAAGCCTACTTACCATATGCAAAAGCTTTGAAAGGCTTAAACATCTATTAAATATTTGGTTAAAGGAACTTCAAATTTTCATTGTATTATTTTCATATAGCCCTATTATACATTGGAGTGGCAATACTGCTTGCAATGCTTGCAATATGACTGCGGCCACAGCAGCCAGGGTTGCCATGCAGTGTTATATTTTGACATCAGTGGATGACAGAATAACTACAGTATGAAAAAGCCGAGGTAAGTATTTTCTTCTTTTCACCTCCAGGGAGCCTAGCTCAGTCACTCTAACTGAGTATGCTATCAAAATTGAGAATGGCAGCCAAAATAACATACCAATGTACATGCACATAATATATGGGTGGAATTATGGATTACTTAACATTATGTATCATTTTGTCGGTCCATAACTGAAGAACTGTAACAAAAAGAGAAAGAGGTTGAGGCTGCAGCAGCTTTTACCAGGAAGCAAACCCACTTGGCCCCTGGTGAGCACTGTAATAATACTTACACTTGGCTTTCTTCTTTTTATATGTTATTATTGTATACACTGTTGCACTGAAGGAACATAGTTATGTTCCCCTGTACACTGAGTATTGCATATGGAGATAATGACAATAAATTCTTCCTTGAACCTTGAACCTCCTGAGGGAAATATCTGGCTCTTTAGCTGCACAATGCTCCACTATTTTCCACTAATTTCCCCTGCCTGCTGTTTGGTGCTGAGTAGCGTCAGTTTTTAGAGCTTGATTTTTCTATAAAGAGCTGAGGAGAACTGAAGATTGAGGGGATAATTTTTCTGCAGGTTTGTAACTACTCAACCCCCTTTCACAAACAAGAAGAAGTCATGTGATGCATTAGCAATATAAAAATACTGATTATAACCACTTTAAGACTGCTTAACCTGGCTAATTAGCAGCTAACAGAAGATATTTAGCACATATAATTAGACCCCCTAGCAAAAATGAATATAAAAAAATATAAAATGTAATGCTTTTTTCTATACAATATATTTTCATAACTGCTTCAGGGCATCCAAGTCAGCATGAATAACAATGTTCTGTACCTCCCGTAAACTGCCTTGCTTTCCATCAGATATTATTTTGCTTTTAAAAATCAATTTAATTGAGAATTTGTGTGGTAATTGTATTGTAAAAAAAAATCTCTCCTACTATTTGGTTTATACAAAGCATCAAAAGGTATTTCAAACGAAAAGACAACAAATTTTATGTGACAGACATCATCAAGTCTTCTTTCTGTAGATTAATCACATTCACTTTTCGTATACTTTTAAAACAACACATTAAATCTAACAGGGCTACATAAATTCACAGAGAATTTCAAGGGAATTTCCTAAGCAGAAGCGCACGGAGAGGTAAAGCTCAGCCAGTCCTCACTGTCAGACAGCGAGCACAGGTCTCAGCAGCAGTCCCAGCAGTTCAACATGCATCTTTCATTTGGGTCTTGCCCCTTCATCTTCTGTGCGCCCGGCTCTGTTTATGAGTCGGGATAAAATAGACTCAGCAAGGTGAAATTAAGGCTAACTATGGAAAGAGATTCCTGGTCTTGCCTCACTGACTGTTTTTTTCTCTTTTTGTCGATTCTCGAAGAGGCTCTCATCAGCCTCTGACAAATGAGGGAGGGTCGAGGGTTAAAGATCACAGAGCAGAGTTCAAATGTCAGGGTTCAGCAGAAGGATTCCTCTATTCATACTCCAACACCACTGTATGGAATTGGTTTCAGGGTGTTCATATCTGATTGCTGTGGGAAGTTTTCTTACTCAAATATTTTATGTACTTCTCATTAACTTATGGTTTACAGCACTCTTAGTGTACCCTATAAAAATGTTTGGTTTCATAACAGAAAATGGGCTATCCTGTGTATTTGGTTCATTCATCCCTCGCCAATGTTACATCCAACACTAAAAAAGCCATTACTGAAGCTCACACTGAAAAAATTAGCTGTTAAATAGGGTCAGCACGGCTCAATAGCAGCCAGTCACTGTGTAGTCTGTTGCATTCATACAAACCCAAAGCCATACAGCACATACACAAGAAATACAAAACATCTGCATGTGCACATCTGTGAATTACATACTTAATTTTGATAATTTAAAACTAAAACTCTTAAATCTTAGAGACTTTGAGACAATTTTCAGCTGTAATTTGGCCCCACAGAAACTGACTGGGTTAGGCTCTAACAGACAACCAGGACTACAGACAAAATAAAACAACAAATAATTTCTATCATTTTCTACCAAATTTTAGAATGCTTATGCTTACAACAAACAAGCCATGCAATTTTAATTTCCATCCAAACCAAATATGGCACTAGCCTTTTGATTTAGCATAATTTGCAATGTCATACCAATGTTTTAGAATGTGTATCCAAAATGATTCAACATGAAAAAAGAGACGCTGCACTGGACATGCATGATAATTTGTTTGTTTTTTGGGAATAGTAATCACTGCATAATGTGGGCCAAGAAAAATATTTTCAATTATTTATTTTGAATTAATTTTAATGTATTTTGTTCAACTGTGTTCTGAGGTGAAGCTAAAAAATGCTGGGTTCAATGCATCTGGTCACAACTCTCATTTTTTTTCCTACAGTGATTGCAGATACAAAGCCTCACTGTCCCTCACCAACAAATACATCTTGTTTTGTTGAAGATAATGTTCATGTTTACTGTTTATTATGCAGACTTGAGTTTCTTTAGAGTATACTCCAAATAGAAATAAGTGAATTCTCTTTGTTTTTGGCATTGTCACTTTATAAAAAGAAAAAATTAGTGGCCTGCTACAAGTGTTTTTGAAAATGCCATGTCATAGTCTTGGCCACTGCAGTACACCCACGATGCACTGCCTCCCACTGTCTCAATGAGGCTGCATTGTTTTCCTCACCTCCGATCCTGGCATTGAAGGCGATGCCCACACCGCAGTAGGAGTTGTTGGCCTCCATGGCAACTTCCCCTGCACATCGGGTACCATGACTGAAACAGAGGGGGAATAAGATGTTAGCAACACACTGAGTCTGAATATGCAGAGATGTAAGTTTTCTTTTTTTGGATGTGCTGACCTGAGCACACACAAATTAAGCCCAGACAGACAATTACATGCAGTACATCCTGATTTGAAGACTGGTACAGACAAACACCAAGATGGTGGAAACTGCAGCTCAAACCAAGGAAGACATCCTGCAGCTGATTTCCTGTTCACACACGATAATTCAGAAGACACGTAAATAAAGAAACAGCATTTCTCTTGTATTGCAGTGTAGAGCTAGTTCTAGTAGAAGTATGATTAGATTTTTTGATTAAAGTTTAGGTCAAAGTTTTGTTTTTGTTTTTTAATTTGATTCTTACATAATGATGCTGTTTAGCTTACATACTTTGACAAGCAAGACAGAGGTTAGATTTATATTTCCCTGTTTGTATTTTTGAATAGCATGTTTGAAGTGAAAGGGTTTTTAGGATGAAAGATAATGGATTTTGCAAATGTAACACTGTCTTGGGTAACACTGGCTGAGGTTGTGAGGACAGAACCCCTAATGTCGACCAGCACACACTACACAGTGGATGTGCTATCATGAATAGACTTTTTCTCAACAAAAGGTTACTGTAAGATAGCTATCCTGCACATGCAAACGTTTGCATTTTCCATTAGCGCAGATAAATACACTATTTAATCCATTTCTTGCACTTTCTTTCTTGTATTTTTTCATTTTAGGGGCTTATTAAATGGGTCAGTTCATTGATTCTTCCAAGATAAGAAACACAGGACCATTACCTATTCTCCTCATCTCTGACAGGCATGGGATCATGAGAAAGACCATGTGAAGCACACAGGTCAAAACTGGCGAGCGCTTCCTGTAATCCAGACAGAAAACAAATGGAGCACAGTGTAACAATGTAACTCTCTACACAAAACATCAGAGTGACATGACAGGAAATGGAGGAATCCCAGGAAAAACTCTTGACACAGGCACTTGAATTAAGTCTGTCAACATATTTCTTCTGACTGACGACAATCACTGTCACTGAGGAGATGCCTTTCGCTGTGTCTATGTGTGTCCCTGCGTGGTTTATGCGCGCCTCATAAAAGTGAACATGTTTGAATGACTTGTTTGCCAGTGTATATAGGCATAACGGGAGGAGGATGTCTTGGCAGCAAATGGTACAAGAGCAATTATGTATCTCTCTCTCTCTCTCTAGCCAGGCTTATCCATGCCAGACAATCTGCTCTGACAAAGTACAAGTTGGCCTGTGCGCTTCAAACTGCCTATAGGATTATATATGACAAGGCAGGAGCAAACAGCACTGCCACTCCACATATGCTTTATGACTCGCCTGTGTAACACCAGCCTAACTGAATAAAACAGCTTTATCACTATATGAAAGTTTTATTGTCTCTGGTTTTAAGTAATAGAGAAGTTGGACAGTTTAAGAGAAAGTCAATACACAGATTTCAGTCTAATGAAAAGCCAAGTATGTTTGTGTAACCTGATGGAAAACTATAACCTCATAACAGGACTTAATCAGAAATTACAGTGCATACCCATCCCGGAGATCTACTGTATATGAGATAACTATCATGACAATATTTTATTCTGCAGCTTCAATAAGATTTGGTAAAAAATCATATTTCAAGTTTACTTACAAAGTTTTTCTTCAGGTCCTTGTTTGCGTGATCTACACCTGAAAGGAAAAAAAGAGATTCTAAATTAGTCAAAAATCCAAATATGGACAGTTGATACTGGTAGGAAACAAGTTTTCTAAGTTAAAAAAAAAAATCTATTCCTTATTTTTTATGTTTTGGTGCAGTAAAACGGAGCAGTCAGACCATGCCTAAGTGCACTCATTGTTTCATTATTTTCAGTCCAGCCAAGAAGGAGCTGTTTCAAGTCATTTGAACTTGTAGTGAGTAGACAGGTTATTAAAACTTGGAATTCTAAGTACCCTACTAATTGGTGTAATTAATTTGCCAAAATGTAACAGTGAAGTCAAATTGTGTCAAGATCCAGGCTTTGCTGTATGAGGTATTGCAAATGATTGATGGATGAGGGAATGAATAACAGAATAATCTCTAGTCCCCCAAATTTCAATGTATTCATTTTGCTATTTTTTTTATCATCCTCCCTTTTCACATCAGTTGCCTTTCTTTCACTCCCTATCCTTCCCCTTCTCCTCACCCCAACCACCACCACCACCACCTCCTCCTCCATCTCTGCTGCATCAGGACTCCTGTGGTCTCAGCAAGAGACAAACGAATGAGGGCCCCAGGAGGGCCGGGCCTGCTCTGCCACACATCACTCACTCTCTCTTTCTCAATCACACACACACACAGGACCTGCCAGCCTTTGTCCCATGCAGGCAGTGCCTCCGGGTTGTCATGGTAACCTTCAGTCGGTTTTGCCGTTGAGGCCTGATTGTGTTGAGCTCAGGCGGGATAGAGCCCTGGGTGGGTGAAGCCTCATTGGAGCCTGCAATGCCGTGCCATGCTGTGCCATGCCACGCCAGGTCAACCTGCTACGTCCTCTACATAATCACTGATGCTTTATTCTCTCCTCGTCCACCACTTTGGATTTTCTTGCCCCAGACACACTTTCCTTTGCTGGTTGGTTGGTTCTGTTTTAAATACTATTTTTGTCTCTGTATCCCACATGTTGTTTCCCAATATGCACTGCTGGTCTCGGAAAGATGGTGTCACCAGCCAGTCAATGAGCTTCACTGTGACTGATAAGATACATTTCCACATCCACTTACAGCTAGTTATAAACACTTTCTGTCAGGTGCCAGGTATTTCCTGGGATAAATACTGAAATTAGTAAGTGTGATTTATTCTTTAAACTGCTTTCAAACGCATCTCATGGTCACATCAGCAAGCAAAGTGAGCAAAAAAAGAAGCAAAATAACTCCATCCACTGAGATGCAGTTCAAATTTAAGATTATTTTACTGCATTTTGTGTTCATAGCAACCGTGGTTTGGTAAGAAAATGGTTGAAAATGTGGCACCATGTTGCTATTAAGTGTTTTCAACAATCACAAAGTTGTGAGGTTTTTATAGATTTTTAGTTTCTTATTCTCAAGGGAACAAGAGAAAGAGCTCTCTGGCCAACTTTCCTCCTTGTCTGAGCCAAGTTGGATTTCCACACTGAACACGAGGCCAAGTGAGCAAGCTGAGTAGGTTTTGCGTACTCTGATTTAAAGATTGAAGTGTGTTGAGTGATACTGCACTATGGGCCAACAGGATGTGTTCATATGGAATTCAAGTGATTCATTAAAAAGTTATGAAATGTCAGATATCTTTTCCAAATCCCCCCTCATGCTGATATGTTTTTCTTTTTAATCCCCCAACTTCATCATCAGTGAAATCAGGAGACTCTCCCATATCCTCTGCTCCAACTCTATCACTTTTGCTCCAATATTTGTCTTTTTCCAGGTCAGAATCTCTGAGTTTAAATTTTCTATGATGTTACTTGTTATTTTGATCTATTTTTGCATTTATGTGCAAACCACTAGTCATTAAAACACCCCCAATATTTGAGGGTCAAACAATATTGTCGAAAAGCATGACATTAGGGGACTTGGTTACATAGAATGCTAAGGTATACACCAGGTGCTGCTGATATTATGGCTCAGAAATACTGTGTTTGGCCCATAAATTACCAATCAGCTTAAGTGAGGAAATGTTTTTTTTAGGTAAAGCAACCATTTAAGGTTTCCCATGGGCATTGGAATGGACAACGTTTCTAGTCTAGGTGTGAGTCCCCTTAGTACATAAATGCAGCTTTACAAACAGTTGATCTCTGCTGTTATGTGAAAAGAATTGCTTGTCTGCAGGAGGCAGAACCTGCTTTATTAAGAGTTTATCTTTGTTTCAACTCAATTATAGGAAAGACACCTTAGTGTGCATTCACACATGTTCTTGCGCTTCCGTGTGTGTGTCAGACCCTAACACGATGACAATCACGCAGAGTCACGTGACTGTTTAAAAGGTGACACCATCACTTTTCAGTTTGCAATGGAGACATCTCTGGGAATTAACATCAAGCTGCTCAGGAGGGAACAAAGTAACAAGTGAGCAAAGGATGGAGAGAGGAAGAATGAGGGAATGACGACCAGGTCTATAAAATCTGCACCCAAACCCCCCATAGAGTGTGTGTGTGTGTGTCACTCTAGTAAGAGTATGTGACACCAGTAACAATGATAGGATGTGGTGTGTTGGTAATCACTGTGATTATAAGGAAGGCAAGGTATATAGCAATTATATACTTATTGGCAGTTTAAAGTGCCATACAGAAAGAATAGGATTAAAAGACAAATTAAAACATTAAAATAAGATTATCAATAAGCATATTCAGCAATATGTTTTAGATTATATAAGACGATGATGCCATAACTGGTATAATAGGACTGCTAGAATTTAGATCCAAGTCAAAGACAACATCCAAATTTCTGGCCATAATTTACAGATGAAGTTAAGATTTTCTGTCTTTCATTATGGGACAAAAACAATCAAACCAGTTTTGTCTTCATTTAGCAAGAGAGTGTCATTAATTTGATAAATAAACTGTGTGAAGTGTGACAACAGGCCCATAGTCCTAACACGACAGAAAAAGGTACATTTAAGTATTGTCTCCGTAAGTATGGCAATAATGTTACTGCTTTGAAAAATCTGCCTTTATGGCAGCATGTATAGGCTGACCAAAAAGGGGCTAAGAACTGACACTTGTGGTACTCCACAGGTCAAGCTGAGCTTTTTGGAAAAAAACATTACGTTTTACAAAATAGGACCTGCCTCAGGACAGGATAGTACCTAGGAACCCCAAGCTGGTGGAGCAGCATTGAGAGAGTAAGTGTTCATTCAAAAGTAATTTAGGACCGTAAAGTGAAGCTGTTTCAGTACAATGATGGGGGCGAAATGCTGATTGGAATTTGTCGAATGTTGTTTAAATGAATAAAGTTGTTAGCAGACAATCTTGCTCAATTATATTTACTATGAAAGCCAAATTTGATATGGGTCTATAGTTGATATATGACATCTCTGCCAACCTATGAAAGAGTTGGTTGGCATGTACATGCATGTATCTGCTTGTGCATGCTTCTCTGCAGTGCACAGATGTGTATTTGGATTAGTATTGACACGTGCACAGCATGAGCATGTGTATGCTCATAGCTCGAGTGTCACAAGGGTCAATTTGAGCATCAAAACAGTGCACCTTCAAGTATTTACAGGGATGATCTGAGTGGAAAAATGCATTCAGTCAGGTGGATTCACTCAGGTAGCACCACACTGCCATAAATACAGCCATAAAAAAACTCCAACATAGTCCAAGGTCTTCTGAGTGTGAAAGTAGAAAGCCACGTCCCACAGTTAGATGAAACACTGTAGGTGGTGGAGACAATGCAAAACCTTCCATGAATACAAATGCTTTGAACCTTGCTGACCCAGTCTAGATTGTGATTGTGCAGGTGTGTGTGTGTGTGTGTGTGTGCGTGCACGCATTTACTGTTCGGCATGTGTGTCAGCATTCAGCGGCAGCAGCTGCACTCTATCTCCTTGCTCCGGCAGCATTCACGCCGGTCCTCAGGGTCAAACACACACACAAATCAGACACAGAGATGTGTCGGAGGCCATTTTGAGCCGATGGTGAGTCGTGCCTGAGCCGCCGCTGAGAAAATGAGCCGACATCACTTCAGAGGAGGCCCCTGCTACACCTGGGGCCCCCTGGCTGGCTCTCGCTGCTTAGCTCTCCTCTGCAGGAGTTACTGTACAACAAAAAAAATACTAAAAGTCAACAGGCTGCTTCTGCTACTGACAGGTGGAGGAGTAGAAGGGCTAAGACACATGCGGGAGGAGGTAAGCCATAAAAAACTGATACCAGTATTTCTGTAATGAAGCTGTACACAGCTGATAATTTGCGTTTGCAAGTGTGAAAAAGAAAAGTGGAAGGAATGTGTGTGTGTGTGTCTAAGAGAGTCTCCTAATCATTTCCTCTGTTGTCCTTTTTCTGTCAATCCTAAAACTTCCTCCTATACCACTTCCAGCGGACCAACTATTGATAATTTACTACTTCACACAAAACACACGCTCGTTTTTGTTCCTCTTCCCTTCCTCTCGTCCTCTCTACACTCCCTCTCTCTCGCGCCAACTTCAGTCATTAGTCCTTTTTTACCTTCCTCCCCGTCTTTTTTCCCCATTTCTCCTTCCTTTGCGCGCTCCTACCTCACCTCTGCTATCACCCATTCTTCCCCGCCTCCTGTCCACCTCCTCTGTTCCTTCCTGCACCCCCTCCCTTCTCTGACCTTTCCTCTTCCACACTCACCTCCTTTCCGTTCCTTCCATTGCGCTCGCTCCCTCCCCTTTCCTCTCCGCGCTTTTTGTTTTTCGTGTGGTCTAGTACCCAACTGTTTCTCTCGCCCTCCGTTCCTGTTTCTCGCCTTCACCCTCTCTCTCCCTCTCCTGTTCGTTCTGATCCTTCCACACTCCCTGACCCCCTTTCTTCCTAATTACTCTCCCTTTACCTGCTCCCTTTCCACTTTGTGGCTTTTCTCTTGACTTCTTGACTTCTTTCTCCCCTCGACTCTCTGCTCTCCTTTGTTCCTTCATTCCTCCTTCTCCGTCCCACCTTTGGTTGTTCACCGCACACCACAACAACACAACCCCACGCACACACACCATTTCCACCCCCACC